CATAATACAGTTTTTCTCACAAATGGCAGAACATCAGATGGACACATGTGCTGCACGCAGAACCGAGTTTTATATAGACTGTTGGTTTGAATTGTACTAGATGAAACTGTTTCTGACAAATTCGGTTAGGGCCTATAAAAGGGATGCATTATGTCAAGTTATTTTGCCAGGAAGATAACTGTGTGGCCAGAATTTACAAAAATACTGATCCAGTCAGAGGTGGGCACAAAGAGTCTAAAATTCTTGAAATAACGCCACCATGGTAAGTGGATAGTACAACCAAATGTTCCGGTTCTGGTCTCCAGAGGAATCACTTCTCAGAGTAAACGATTCAATCAGTAACTGAGAAAACAGAAACTTTAAGGCTGTTACATATTAGGTGGCATTGTTCTGTAAGGTTCTTTCTGTGTCTGTAGCTAGTTCCAGCTGACCAGTCTGATTGCACACAGTGTTGCACTGTGTCAAAAATTGAAAATTGAAAATCAAAAATACTTCTTAGTGCACAAGGATTTCAGTTACACAGGCTGATTAATGTAACACTTTCCCTAGTTAGTTATAAATGCATGGTCCAAAGCTATCAAGCATTTGCTGATTTCAGTTATATAATGACAACACATATTCACAAGTCCTGTATGATTATAGCCACATTCATACCAACATGCACACTTGACATATAAGGCACTCAAAGGAAAAGTTGATAGGAAAAATATGTAACTCTTTTACATGAACTTTTTTTGTACCATGAGTGAGACTATATGAATTTAGTGGGAAATACATGTTTATTGCTTGTTGTTTCTTAATCAAAATGTATATTGCTTTTTATATTATTCAAATGAAAGATATAAGAACATAAGAACATAAGAACTATACAAACGAGAGGAGGCCATTCGGCCCATCGAGCTCGCTTGGGGAGAACTTATCTAATAGCTCAGAGTTGTTAAAATCTTATCTAGCTCTGATTTAAAGGAACCCAAGGATTCAGCTTGCACTATGTTATCAGGAAGACTATTCCATACTCTGACTAAAATGTGTATGTATGATTTCTCCACAGTCATTTGGTTAAATTAGACATGAGAAAATTCATGTTATATTCCCAGAAAACAAAGTGAAGGATGTTTCCTTTTCAAAAGAACTCATTCTAGTTGTGTGAAACCATTGTCCATGAATCAAAGGAGTTCATTCAAAGAATTATATACAGTGGTACCTCAGTTCTCGAACTCATTAAAACTCGAATTTCTTAAAAGTCGAACCAACCAGTTCGAAAAAAAAAAATTAGCTAGAACTCGATCTGAATCTCAGAATTCAAACCGTGAACGCCGACCTAAGATAACTTGTACGCCGGGAAATGAGTCACGCTGCACGTCTCTCAGCGGAAACAAAGGGTAAAGCTTCAGACTCAGCCTCGTATTAGCTGTGATAGCATTGTGCATGTTTACACTAGTTGAATACATATATTTAGACAGTGAAAATACATTTAGACAATAATAGACAGTAACAGTAATTATTATTATATAATAAAATACATTTAAAAATAAAGATTTCTTATTCATTGTTTTAATATTAATAATAAACCATTAATACATTTAATTATAATAATATTGTCGTGCGGAGCTGGGACAGAATGGAGACAAAGGCGCAGATGTCAGGGTATCGGGGAATACGGGGTTTAATTACAGGTAAGGCAGGCAAAATGCAGACGGACAATATAATGACCGGACTGGGGAAACAAACTGAAACGCCGACTAATAACAAAAAGCAGAAACAGCTGATCACATGGGGATAACACAAGGGATTAACGAGGGAGCGTGGCACACGGAAGGAGCTGACGATCGAGGCAGGACACATTGTTTTTTTTAACTTTACACATTGTTTGGATACATTTATTTTCTTACTTTACAAATTACGGTTTTGATAAATGTGCTTAGATGTGTTTAGTACAGGATATGCTTTGCTTGTTTTATCCGGTTCATTTTGTGTTTAAATGCTAAAAAATAAAACAAACACAAAAAAATATAGTGGTACCTCGGTTCTCGAACTTGAAAGTCGAACAAACCAGTTTGACCTAGAACTCGATCTGAATATCAGAAGTCGAACCGTGAACGCTGACCTAATATAAATTGTACGCGCCAGGAAATGAGTCATACTACAATGCAATTCTTACTTGAATGCCTTCTTCACAGACTGGACGATTAAGCAAATAAAGCAGCGCAAAATTACAGTAACTAACAATAAATAAAGTACACGTAAGTTAGTGGACTATTTAAACTTTATTTTACCAGGTAAATTAACTGAAAACCAGTTCTCATTGCTTTATGGGATATTCGGGAGAAATGGCAGATTACGCATCGGAACTGCCTGGGATACAAACGTCATGCGTGTAACTAAAAACTCTTCAGCCAATAAGGGCAAAGGTGTGTCGGTCCGGAGTTCTGAACGGATTAAATTCGAGTTCCCACTGTATAAAAACTACTACTGACAAAACACTCATTTAATATGTATTGTATATCAATGTATAACTTATATGCTTGGCAAAACATTAACCTAATATGTATTTTACATGAATAAAGGACATAAATGACTGACACACACATTTAATATGGATTGTACATTAATGTAGGACTTATATGTTTGATGGTACATTATTTCATATGTATTTTACATCAAAGATTGAACATCTAATGACACATTAAGTTAATATGAATTGTATATTTATTTTGAGTGTCATATAAAGAGTTTATATGACTTGGATAAAATGTAGAAGACTCACATGTTATTTTTGTTATTCTTTTCCATATGTAAACACCTGATTATAAATGTGATTATACTGAAGTCTGAATAGTTAAAATAATTCATGACTAGAGCAGTGAGGTTCTACTACAGTAGAACACATGATCTGTCATGATAACTGGGCTACAGGAAACTTCTGATTCAGTGTTTGCTCAAAGAACCTGCAATACATTTAGGGCGAAATAAGAATGACTTAACTGGAAACAAAATAGACATTTAAAGAAGTCTAAATGTTGAATCAACTATGTAAGTTTCACAGGAGATGAGCTGTGCCAGCAATAATCAATCAATATTTATGAAACTTTATAGGTTCCATAAGAGAAGAGAGCAAAACTGAGCAAAGTAGACCTGGTGGGTAGTATTTCTTTATTGACTTTAATGATCTCTAACTTTTTTCTGAGTACAATAGTCCCTCTGAATCCGTGGGTGATACATTCCAAGCCCTTGCATGGATAACCAAAACTGAGGATGATAGCAAATTATCCGTGGACCCCATGTGGGCGTGATTTTCAGGAATTACAAATGGTAATTGATCAATTACGCAGAATAAAACATTACCAATGTTAAAAGCAGTAATAATAAAGTACAGTGCACATGTCCAGTTATACAGTACTGTAGAGGAGACAACTGAACTCTCATTCTGAACTGAAAGGGATTATGACGGCTCAGCCTAATTCTCAAGAAACGATAGAACAATGAAAAAATATCATGTATCAAGGGATGATGGCGCGATGAAAATCACGCTTTTTATGCCCCTTAAAGGACGAAGGAACAATCAAAAAAACATTCTGTTACACACAATGTTTTTACCAGACCTTGGTAAACCACAGATAACAGACTGTGGATATGGGGGACTACTGTACACATAATGTAATGAATCCATGTCATAATGTGTTAACTGCTGTCATTATGAAAATTTACAGAATGAATATTTATATTATACTTAAGTTTTATTTGTTGTTTGTTTATGAGAAATTTAATCGTCATGCCACATCAAAAAGGTTATATATATTGCTGTGCATTGCCGTTAAAATAATAAACAGAAAATTATTCAAGATTATTGTAAAAAATAGTAATACTGTTATAATCCATTGCATCACTAGGTCAAGGTTGTGAATCACCTCCAAAGATTGACAATGGCGATGTGATTGACAGTAATGCAATGAAAGCGACGTATCAGTGTAAGAGACATTATACATTAAGGGGCTCGAAAGACTTAGCATGTCAAAATGGCCAGTGGGATGAACCTCCAGTTTGTTTATGTGAGTATTTTTCTTTCAGTCAAAAGAAAGTATATACGGTAGTTTTTTTGTTGTTTATTTAACATTTAATCATAATATTGCTAATTGTTTGCCACTTTTTACCAGCTCCGTGTTCAGTATCATCAATACCTTCCGAACATAATCTTCAGTCTCCGAGGGGGACTACCTATATTCCAGAGGACAGCGATGTACAGTTTCGTTGTATATCCGGAACTTACCGTTATAAAGGAGGATGGTTATACACAGGCATAGGACACTGTCGCAATGGAAAAGTGACCTTCACGGGATGTAAGTTCAATGATACTTATCAACTTCTTATTTATTCTCTGACAGCTGTTGAAAAACTGTGAATTGTCACACGATTTCTTAGAATAATTGGTAATGATGTACATTAAGTGCACCTTCATAATGAATTTCTAAATCATACTCCTAAATTTATTTTTCAGGCGGATATTACAACTGAAAAGGTAAGTGTTATATTGCATCGATACAGTTTTAAGCCAAAGTTAATGAATTTATATGACAGGTGATGGTCATCACCATCCATGAATTTTTTAAGTAGTTTTTTTTTTCATTGATACGGTTGCACATAAACTACCATACAGAAAAGCTTTATGATTTGTTCAATAATATATTTTAATTAACAAATAAAAGCAGATATATTTCAAACTTTTAATTCTTTAGACTGTGATTTCTCAAAAAAGCAACTATTTAAAAGAATGTGTTCTATCTCTTTTAGTCATTCTACTGAGTGTTTGCAGTTTAAAAGTTTTTAATATACATCTCATACTTGTTGAAGAGACAGTGTAATGTGCTTTGGCATTGAAGTTTTGCAATACAATTTCATTGACTAGTGAACTCAAGAAGACTGCGAGAATACTAGGACATCATTCCCTTTTGTGTTTAGGGATTAAACCCCCCATTTAATGTAAACTCAAGGGTAGGTGGCTCCAAACCTCTGAGATTCCAGAAAAGGTACAGTTTCACTGTGGCACATCATTAGCATCTCTCTAGCACCCCCTACTGGCAGGAATAATCATATAAAGTTAGCAGTTGTGGAAGCATAAGAATAATTAAGAGGAAAATGAGGCTGGACTATGTATAAAACTATGCTATGGGGATAATATAAATAAAAAATACATGAAATGGGTCTATCAGTGTAACGATGACAGGAAATATGCAGCCTGACATATGCCCCAGACAGGGGTATTTTAAAATGCATATGTTTTTAAGATTAAATACAGGGGCATTGAGAAAAGCGGGCCTAGAGTATCTAACTCTCATCCAGCGTTGAGGAATAACCCGGGAGTTCACAGTGTTCCCTGGGCAGGAGTAAATGTACCTAATCAAACAAATCCGTGTAAAACAGTGTTTCCCAACCCAGTCCCTCCCAGCTCCCAGTAAAACGTGGACTGTCTGTGTCCCCGAGGACCAGGGTGGGACACACTGTTATACACTGATTTAAATCTAAAAGATTTCAGTGTCCCTGAAAACATCCAGTGCATCTCTACAACCCTGGTACTTTCCAACTGCATTCTGACACTGTTTAATTACTGCAACATTCTGCCACAAATACACAGAATACAATCAAAGATTATTTCAATCAATGTTTATTTCTGAGTTATGGTAAAACCCACATTTTACTTTGAAATACAATTAATGATGCATGATAAACTCAGAAAACTGGTAATAAATTGAGTTGTGAGTGTTGCTGGTTTCTTCTGGAAGTAATTCATGCCCCTGCAAGAATAAAACTGCAGGAATTAAAGCTGGAGACAGATACAGAATGAGGCCAGATTAAAATGACCAGAACCAACCTTTCACTTTCCATAAAGACTATGCTGAAAAAAATGACATAAAAACCTATGTACAGTTCTCAACACATTTTCATAGCAAAAAGAAATATCTGTGCAGGCTTCAGTGGCCATGATCTGCACTTGAGATGTTCTGCACCTGGGCAGCTGCATCCAGTCCAAGTAAAGTACCCAGATAAGAAGGTTCTCTGGGATCGAGGATCTGGTCGGTTCGCACCGGGTGAACGATTGTGGCCGGCTGAGGGGTGAGAGTGTATTTCTCTAAGAAAACGAGATCGGCAGCTGGCTGGTATTCAGCTGTTGGTTGCCCCTCAGACTGAGTCTGGAGGATACCATGGGGGGCGTGGCCCCCGAGACCTGATTGGCTGGAGACCTCTGGCATCGGAACTGGAACGAGCGTAACTGGCACGCAGGTGTCTGGGCCCGCCCCCTGGAGGACGGCCTTCCGCTCTGATGGGTACGCCTTGCCGTGTTCGGCCGGATGCATCTTATCTTGGTACGGCGTGGCGAGGCCGGCGGCCTTGTCCTCGCCCGGCTCAGTGCTGGCCGGCTCTGCCGCCCTACTTCCGTGGACGTGGTCTGTGTGATACTTCAGCTTGTCTTTCCTCTTGAAGGTGGCGCTGCAGTGCGGACAGTTAAAGGGCCGCGCGTCCGAGTGAATCACCATGTGCTTCGTTAACGTCTTCTTTATCCTGAACGTCTGATTGCAGATCTGACACCTGTACGGCTTCTCCCCTTCAGAGTGGAGACAGCGACGGTTAGCGTGACACGACTGGCCCCTGATGCCGGAACAGCGTATTCTGTAAAAGAAACCAATCTGTTTCCGCATTACCTGAATGGGTCCGGAAATGCATCTCTAAGCTGGACTTTCCTTTGAATTCCTTCTTACAGACTTCACACTGATGCAGTGCTGCCTTGTACCTATTCCACAGCAAAATTCAGTTATTATTTATGATGTCATTAATAACAGCTCAGCTAAAGTGAAGCATTTACGAAAATGTGCGGCTTTACTTACTTCTGCCACACCTTCTCCCCCAGATGAACGCTCCTATAGTGCACCGTCAGGTGGTCGTGACGCCTGAAGCACTTGCCGCATTCTTCACATTGATGCGCCTTCTCTCCTGCAGCAAACATGACGATCGTCTACCAGTTCATTTGCAAGATGAGGACCACTTCTGCATGCGCGATGCGATTGGCTCATTTGCCGTCACACTGCACATACTTAGACCCTCATTATATACAAACGAGATGCCAAACATGCAGGAAATGCAATTAGATCACGTGACATTATGGGACAGCAGATGTGAATGATGCTACATTGTTTTCTGAATGAAAATAAGAAGCATGAACAGACAAAATTATTACAGCATGACAAGAAGGTACAGGAGACTCTTCTTGATACTTTTTTCAATTCCTCTTGCTTTGGGCGAATTTGCCTTTCAGACTGAATTAAACTTATGTGCCTTTGGCAAAAAAGTACATCTTATCCACAATAGAATCAAAAGTGTGATTAATGTGAGTCATTTAGATCCACTTGGATTAGTCATGGAAGACGGAAAATATACCAAACCCGAGAGACCCATGTCAGAAGCCAAGTGTTCTGAAGTCACCAGGCTGTTTACCTACGAGATCAGTCATCAGTAGAGCAGGATGTATTTACCTGAGTGTATTTTTTTGTGTTTTGTTAGGTGATCGTGCCGAATGAAGGTTTTCCCGCATTCGTCACACTCGTACCGCTTGTCATCGTGATGGACCCTAAGATGAAGTCTGACAATAAAAAGATTCCTGAGAATTATGAAGAGTTGAAGGAGACATGTATGCATGGACATAATACGCAAATATTAAAGGAAACTCAAACAGCAGATTGTTGTCACTCTGGTCATTTATTTTCCGCTGATTTTTATTTTCAGCTTCCGTCAGTCACTCGACCCTTTGTCTTACACAAGCATGCACCTGCATGTTCACCTGAACTCACCTGTACGAGCTTCCATGCCGGAAACTCTGGCCACATATGCTGCAAAGATGAGGTTTCTCTCCACTATGAATCCTCATATGCTCATTTAAAGTAGTCCTAAAAAAAAGTTAACAAAGTAAATGGTATTTCATTGACCTGAAACACAAGACTTTGATTCAACTGGCGAAATAATCAATCCTCTGTCCTCACCAGGACATATTTTTATGCTAATCTGAGCTACAAATCAAAACACATCAGAATTTTTCTGAACTTATCAGAATCTAACTGTCGACAAGACGGCCAACAGCTGCATTAAACTATCAATAACCAGCTGTGTAGGAAATACACAATAAACCTAGTTTTACAAACTATACAACGGCTTACCTTTTGTAGTATACATGACCATATGAATATATAAACTGAATCCTCTCCATTAGAGGTTGACAATCGTAACTTTAAAGCTTTACAAACATAGCATTACCTTTCGCGTACAGATTTCCCACAAGTGGAGCATGTCCATTTTCTTTTCCCACCATGCGTGCATTCGATATGACGCTTCCTGTTTCCCGTGTCATTGAACTGTCTGCCGCAAATTTCACAAGGAAATGGTCCTGAAAAGAACAAATATTTGACCCTTGTGAAAATGACTCACCCTCCTTAACTCCTGAAACAAACTCTCGTCAGACGTGCAGAAGCACCAACATTACCTAAATGGTACTTCTCTTGGTGCTTCAGTCGCGAGAACCTCGACTTGAAATAGTCATCGCAAAATGCGCATTTAAAGGGCCTGTCCTGCGAGTGGAGGATCATGTGCTCTTCCAGGTGTGGCCGACGGGTGAAGGACCTATGGCAGATCTGACCAATCGAACAGCAAGGACACCGTCACGCATTCCGGAACGATGACACACAGTGATCATGAAAAACATGCACAGCTACAGCCAGAATGAAAAGCGTGACCATAGTCTGGGCATCAGTCTGGTTTCTCTACCAATGGTCATACAGACAACGCTGTACTGTGCTAATATTACAATATTTTATGTCCATTTTTGATAAATGAACAGCCATGGTGCTCTAAAGAAGAATGGCATAAAAAAGCTAGATCCATTTGTTTTCAGTCCATAACAAAGAAAACAGAGAGAGCATGCAAGGTCCACGACCAGAACCAGGGTGGGAATTAAACCCATAAATCTGTAGCTATGAGACCATAGTGACCCAACAATAACCATCTCAAGAAAAATGTAGTTCAAAGCAAAAGACCCTAAAATAAATTATAAGAAAGTCACGCACATCACATTTCCAAGTTTCACTCTTTCTTTTCTTCATCGAAAGGAACTCTTGAATGTGGTCAGGGTGGAATCTGAAAAAGCAGCAATATTCAGTACGCAGCTTGGTAATGCACAGGCACATGAGTGTTCTGGAAAGACATCGGGTAAGAAAATGAATGCTACACAGGAGGCCAATGGCCAGCATTGGCCAGTTTTCTAATTCATTGAAGAGGCTATTGAAGTATAATAATGTTGTGTACAGACATGTTTGTGCAATGAGATCCTTCGTAGCCCTTTCACAGTGAGTGATACTTACCTCCTTACATGCTTTGCTAGTGTTTTCCTGCTGGCGTGTAACTTATTGCAAAAAGGGCACCTGTGCTCCTTCTTCTGAAAAGGCACTCCAATATTGTGCTTCTTCTTGTGAACAGTGAGGTTGGACTTAGTTGAGTAACACTGGTGACAGACGTCGCACTGAAACGGTTTCTCCCCCGTGTGAACTCGCGTGTGACTCTCGTATTTTCCTATGCAAAGAGATGGAGACGTAAATGCCTGAGAACGTTCTTTGTATCTGAAGTCTGGCATTGGAAACGTCATGACACCTGCTTTGCAGAAGAGTGACTTTTCGACAAGAAAGAAGAGCAAAATTAAGCTCATGCAGGAAAGTATTAAAGGTTTTGGAGACTTCAACACTTTTCAAGAACATATAGACCACGACTGTCGAAGTTGCCTTTATGGATGTGTACATATTATTTGGAATTCTATATCTGGCTTAGGACTTACCTGCCCGGTCAAAAGTTTTTTCACATTTAGGACACTTGAGTGTTTTCTTGTTGGAACTCTTAATTATGAGCGGCATCAGTCCATCTGGATACAGCTTCTCTGGCACGTCAGCACCAATGCTGTGTTCCTCTCCTTCACTCTCATTCTGTTGATTCTTCTCTGCTTCATCCAAGTTTTCATTGTACGGTCTGTCCTCTTCAGTGAACTCACTCCTTCCGTCAGGTTCCCTGACCTCCTCCTCCTCGTCCTGTTCATCCTCCTCCTTCTGCTCCTCATTCTCCTCTTCTGTCAGGGTTGACACCTCCTCGCTGTTGGACTTGCTCGGGCTAGCCTTGTCAGACACACCCTCTCTGTCCTTATCACCCTCCTCAAACTTAGCTGGGCATTTCCTCCTACGCGCAGATCGCCTGGTCACTTGCGGGGCAACTTTGTCAGAGTTCCACTCTTTTTCCTCCAAACCTTCGGCCATACTGTGACTCCTGGCCAAATGGTTCTCCAAGGACTTCCTGTAGCAAAATATTCGGCTGCAGTGGGTGCATTTGCCCCCGCTCAATACCTTTGAGCTGCTCTCAGAAGGATCTGGCTGGGCCTCTTTCTGTGGTACGTCAGTAGTCACTTCCTGTACCTGGGCTGAAGCTTCCATGACCTCCTCGCTGGTTAGCAGCCTCACAGCGTCCGTCATGTCCAGAAACCTGGCGGCCTCCACCAGCATCGGAATCTCCTTCTCAAAGATCACAAATTCTGATGTGTACAAGAACCGAAGCAAGTGACAAAAGGCAGACTCTTCCATGTCCTTCACAGTTACTACATTCAGATCAGGGCTTTTGCTCAGTCTGCTGTGGAAGTAGCTGCTCCCAAAGGCCACCACCACCTTGTGGGCACTGTACCTCTTCCCGTTCACGATAACGACCAAGTCGCAAAACAGTGACGCTTTCTGTCTGTCCTCATTCAGAAAATGAAGAAAGTCACCATTATTCTGAGCTGAAACGAGGTGCTTTCTTTGCTGTGAAGTCCCTATAGAAGGCTGGTCAGAATCATTCAGGTTAGCAGCCAATGGAGTGAATGGAATTACTGCACTGCAATGGGCTGTAGATTCCTCTAGCGGTGCCCTTTCTTTGCATTGCCTACCACCCAGTAGCTTGGAAAGATTAGCTTTTCTCTTCATACTTGACAATATATCTCACTACCCTGAGAAACAAAACACGAAGATTTAGGTTACTGATTATTATCACTCAGTCCCTGAATAAATTCCTGTGGAGGAGATGGGAGAGACGATAGAATCATACAAAGATAAAAGCAATGGATTTAGAACTCCAGTATTGAAAGTATACGCCTCTTATTTAATGTGTACAGATCTGCAAATAAAATCCCAAGTACAATTCCTTGCCACTTTTAATATATTTTAATATATTTACAAAGCAGGGTTTCCCCAGCTGGCCACCACACTGACTGAAATAGGCTGACAGCCACCCTGTGACTCTGACGAGCAAAAGAGGTTAGAGGATGGATGGATCTATTATTATTATTATTATTATTATTATTATTATTATTTTACCAGGCAACACTAAATGTTTGACATAAAATATTTACAGTGACCAGCGAGCAAAACTCTATTTTTCATGAGGTATTTGGATTAGCTAGCTAGGTACTATACAATGGTATCGTTCAACTTTTCTTCAAGTGACATGCCACTGGTCACTGAAGCAGGTGAATTCAATATTTTATCTAACAACAATATAATCGTCGTTAACATTATGCATTATGAGCTAGCTGTGTCCTTATCAGCGACAACGATGTTTACACGTTATATTTGGCTGTGAAATCGCGATCTCTGCTCCAGTTGTAAGACAGTAATTTTATAGAAACTGCTGTCGCCAAGGACCACAATGATGCCATTTACAATTCGCTGCCCTCCTTGCGGACCCCCATTTCAACCCCACGGCCCCCCGTAAGGGGAGAGCACTGACAACCGACTCTTGTAGCCACCAATTGAACTACTAAGTTGCAAGATCGGGGAATATATGCAAGCAAAAATTTTCCTACCTTATTCACTCAAACAAACTAAGTAACTGTACGATTAATGTTTATTAAAATAAAGAAAATTATTTCCTGAATATAACAAAGCACCCCACCTTCCTATTTCCAGCGTATATCAGACCTCGGAATAAGCTGCCGTGCCATTGGCTGTCTCGCTTAACTTAAGCTTCCTGTCCAAATCCATGATTTTACCACTGGTACGGCATGAAAAATGGTATACGCTTTAAAAGAATGAAAGCGTGTATCATAAAGATCATGCCGTCGGCAACATTAGGAATTATGAGAACTTATTTTTACGGCGAATGTGCGTTTTCCAAATTCCAATACAAGCCCCCCCCCCCCCAAAAGCGAGGACCGCGTGGTAGTATGGGTATTGTAGTACATTTGAAAAAAATATTTCATTTAAAAAAAGAAGACATTGCGTACTACTATGTTACCACTGTTATTGGCTGTACTTATGCATCTATTTTGCAATGTATAGTGCAGCTCAGGTATGTGTGGATCCTGAAACTGGGGAGCAAAGCAGATTGCATAGTGGAAACGCACCCAAATGTCCAAGGGACCATATCACACATCTCTTCTGTTGTATGTGACTTTATATGTGACAGCACCCAACTACTTGTTTTTTTAAAGGCAGTGGGGCTTCATTAAGAAATGTTACGTACTTAGAGGAGAACTCTATATGACTGGTTCCACCCACTTTCCTGTAGGTGCTGTGATTGTAGACATTGCTGTAGATAGCAGAGCGGATGAGACCAACCTAAATGTGTTAATAGTATACAAGCCATTTATGTTTTCCTCACCTCCCAATCACAGATTTCTGCAGAATCCCTAGTTTTGTTTTCAAAGGATGACATGAACCCATCTCTAAATAAGCATCGGTGTCTCATTTCAAAAGTGTTACTATGTTTTTTTGTTCTTCTTCTTCTTTAACAATAATTTTCGTACATAAAGCTTATATGTCATGTGACATATAACAGACATGTGAGGCTGTTCAAAAATGGCCCATAAATGTCACCCCGGCTGACGTTCAGCTTGTAAGACGTTTAGAGCGCATTAACCTAAATGCAGAGACCTGCCTGGTGGGTGGAGATCCCAAGCATTAGAGTCGCCGGTTCCGCACGGGTGACTGAAAGGTCGACAGCTGGCAGCAACCTTTTAAAAATGAGCTGTTACATGAAATTAAATAACCAGCATAATATACCTCATTCATGGGGGAACCTTAGCACAACAATGAAGAAACTGTCCTGCTGTCTGTGGATCCTGCTTTTATTCAATAAAGGTACCATTTTCTACCTCTTTTTATCATATTATTATAAAGAGCACAGTCATGATTTATATTATCTGTTAAGGTTCTTTTAAAAATATAATACACTTCAATGTCATTGTAAAACAGTCACATATATTAGATATACTGCTATATATCTAGACTTTATGACTATTTTCTGTGATTAGTTAAAATACATTTTAATCCCTGTTATCTATCATGAATATCAATTATAGAAGAATAATCTGATGTTTAATAGTTATCCCTAATTGATTATTTAAAATAATTTATGGATATTCTACTTTGTCATCTATGCTTACTTCGGTAGGAATAGCTAAGCCTTATTTATTGAAATTGTATTTAACTGGCCAATCCAGGCTGGTATTCCACAAAGCAGGATTTCTTCATTAGGCAGATAACTTAAGCCAAATGTAGGGATTGTCCAATAGGAATGTTACTTACCTGGTTTCCTATTGGACGATTTGCACGTTTGGCTGAAGTTATCCAGTTAACTGGGGAATGCTGCTTTGTGGAACTCCCCTCTGGTTAGCTAGTTATCCTGGCAAAAAGGGAGGTTTTTAAATCTGAATACCTTTTTCTGAAGGTGCCTTATCTGACAAGGATACCGATGTGTGTGATTCGAACCCATGCCAGAATGGAGGCTCATGTGAGAAGAGTTTTGCCAGCTACACATGCCACTGTTCAAATGAGAACCAAAACGGCATCGTGTACGGAGGCCGGAACTGCACTCAGGTCCTGGTAGGCTGTAGGGGGCGCCAGTGCCATAATGGGGGAACATGCTTCCCTTTCCTGAGTGACGAAGTGCATGTCTACGAATGCTTATGTCCTAGTGGCTTTACAGGCACCTACTGCCAAGAATCCACCACATTCTCCTTTGAGACCAATGGTTACGTCCACCTTGAGACATCAACCCCAGATACAAAAGCGGACTTGAACGTGACCCTCAGCTTTAGAACCCTGCAAGGTGAGGGACTGCTGTTTCAGCGGGATGTTGGAGGATTACTGCATAGGCTGCAGCTGTCCAGAGGCCACGTGCATCTCAGCCTTCTGGAGCACAGTGAACCTGCAGTGTCACTGGCGCTGCCACAGAACGTGACCGACGGCTGGTGGCACACCGTTGAGATCATCCTGGGGCAGGAAGGACTAAGTGTTGGGCTACTGGATTCCTCATGTCAGGAGGACTGCGAGAACCAAATGGCTGTGAAGAGCAACTGGACGCAGCTGGAACTGACACGTCGTAGCATGTTCATCGGTGGGGTTCGGGGGGAGGGTGAAGCCGGCCCGCCGCATTTTATCGGCTGCCTGCGGGACCTGCGCGTCGACGATGTGCCACTGGTGCCGGTGCATTGGCCGAAGGGGTCCACAGAGAGCCTCACCCATGGGTGCATAGAGAGGGACCGGTGTGTGGACGACCCGTGCCAGAGTAGGGGCACATGCCATAATCAGTGGCTGAGCTACAAGTGCGAGTGCGACAGTCCCTTTGAAGGGCAAGATTGCTCAGAGGGTAAGAGGTCATATGATGAACATCAACCCCAGGAGACGTCTTATCATGAACAGAGTCACAATAGCCAATAGCACAATCACCAGAACCTTCTATGTCATATTACTGCCGGTGGCACAAAGGCTCAGAGGATACACTGTTGCCTCACATTTATAGGGTTGGGGCTTTAAACCTGGGGCTCTCCCCAGGTTGGGTGTGTTTCCACTGGGTTCTCCAGTTTCCTCTAGCAGTCGAAAAGCAGGCAGTGAGGGTATTTGGCATCTGTTAGCTGCTCCAGGAGCATGATTGTGTTTGTGAGTTTGTGCATGTGGGCATGTGCCCTAAAGGGACTGCCTTTATCCATCGTTAACAGCGTGGTTTAAGTGTGTACAATTGTGTACGGACAGACAGACAGCAAGAGGGCGAGAGACAGAGAGAGAGAGAGGGTTAGGGTTATGGTTAGGGTTAGGGAAGAATTGGGTGGGGGTGCAAGATTAATGGATCATTTTAACCAACCTTCAAATCTGTTTGCAGGATAATTGAAGTTGCATTGTGCACAATCGCTGTTTAGATTATTCATAGACAAGGAATTTTATATGATCAAAGATAAGTTACTTGGGAGCATTGCTAACATTTAAAATTGCTGATGTATTATGCTACTTACTAAGTCTATTAATAGGCACAGTGTCCTTAATCTCCTTATCTAACAGGTTTATTATTATGGTTCCTTAAAATGGAAGGATTATGTCTTACGTAACATTTACTGTAGCAGTATCTTTTATTTATATTTTTAAAAAACTTAGCTCATGATGAAATCGTGTCATGAGCAGGATTGTGGGCATATGTTGTCTATAAAAACTATGATATTTAGATGCCCACTATGACGTGTTACATCCAATCCATCATCCAGTCGGCCTATTGGTCGGGGCGAGGAACTCTCACGTTATGGTTTCTTATATGTAATTTTCGGCCTTATATTCGGTATAAGAGGAAATAGAAGGATGACATAAAACAGTGCGAGAGCTTAACTGAAATATATGCAGATTTATGCAACATTTAACTGTATAAGTGCTTACTATTACTAAAGCTGGACAGATTGGCGCTGAATAAACTTTGAAATGTTATTAAATTATTTTGTATAGCTCTATAATCGTAGTATTAAATTACACTAGAGCGCTGAATAGTAATGACTGACCGATGGACATTATTATAAGCTGCACTTTGGTTTCTGCACAGAGAATATCGCTGGGAGGTTTGGGGATGGAGAACTGGAAAGCTATGCTGTTTTCACTATTGACGACGACCCCGGACAGGACATTGTGCTCAGCATGCGGGTGCGCACGCGGAGGCGGAGCGGGCTGCTGCTCGCCCTCGTCAATAGCAGCGGCTCCTACCTCCGGCTATGGCTGCAGGACGGCAAAGCCACAGTCCGGGCCGAACGTTCCCCGAGCCTCACGGGACGGCTGGCGCTGAGCGACGGGGCGCTTCATCACGTAACCGTGAGAGTGCAGCAGGACCAAATGGCGCTGTTCCTGTCGTCCCAGAAGCAGGGGGAGGTCTCTGTTTCCATGCCACCGGTCCGGTCAGGAGACGCGGTTTACCTCGGGGGACTGACAGACCGGCGCTCCAGCGCCTCGTTTGGAGGTTATTTCAAAGGATGCATCCAGGACGTGCGGATAAACTCCCGGCGCCTGCAGCTCTATCCCATAGGCGCGCCAGTGAGCTCCTATGCCCTGGAGCGCCTTGTCAACGTAACGCAAGGCTGTGCAAGCGACAGCACCTGCAGAGTAAGTAATACAGCAGAACTGTGCTTAAGTCAGCAGCCATGTGTTAGCCGTCATAAACTTGTTAATCGTTATTCTGTAACACTAATCAAATTTAATAAAGATATGCCTTTGTCCCTAATGCCTTTTTAAATTTAAAGGTGCGATACAAAGTTGTGATCTATCTGTCTATCTGTAATATGCACAGTTTATAAATAATTTAATCTGGTTACTGTACACTTGTATTTTTTTTTTGTCTGACTAAGAATAATCCGTGTCAGAATGGGGGGGTTTGCTATCCCACGTGGGACGGCTTCACGTGCTCCTGCCCCTCGCATGCTGCCGGCCAGCTCTGCGAAGAGGCGACGTGGTGTGAGCGGTCCCCCTGTCCGCCAGCCGGGGTCTGCCGGCCCAGAGCACAAGGCTTCGAGTGTGAGCACCGAGCCTGTCATAATCCAGGAGCGCCCTTCGGGGTCTCAATCGTGCAGAGTCGCTGAAAATGAATATATAGGGATAATGATGGTCTAGTGGTGAACTTTAATACAATTCATTTTGTGGTGTAAATTCACCTGGACACTTACTCCTTAAGTATTGATCGGAGCTTTTATAAGGTAATACTGCCATTGTCTTGGTGTGATTTTATTATTAAAACACAACTTTTGTCTTGTGTTCCATAGAATACAGACTGTGCCTTAAATAAATAAGGATAAATAAGGAAGAGAGTATGCCAGAAATCAATAATAATAATTTTTCATCATGTACTGCAATGGGTTGGTGCCCAATCCTGGGTTTGCTCCCATAGCTTCTAGGATGTGCTCCGGACCCCCACAACCCTGCATAGGGCAAGTGGATATGAAAAACGGATGCATGGATGGAAGGATGCATGGATGGAATTAACATTTATGCCTTTGATTTCTCTGTCTTTTTATTCAGGTTTTTCCAATGCAACGTTTTACGATGATAGCGCTGTCATTTCTTACAAAGGCAATGGCAAGATCTCTCGAACTCTCAGCTACATCTCTTTTCGGATTCGGACAAGGAAGCTCAACTGTGTCATTCTGCATGCTGAGAGGGGCCCTGAGTTTGTCACGGTCTCCATCCAAAACTCTTATCTCCAGTTGGAGTTGATGACTGGCCCAGATGCCTCCCTCAAACTGACCCTGAAGAGCCAGCACGCCATCAGCGATGGTGAATGGCACTCAGTGGAGTTCTCTATGCTGGTCCCCTCATTGCCATCTTCCAAATGGATTGTCAACGTTGACGGCAAAGGGACAATCTCCAGCGTCAGATCTGGGAACCTGGATTTCCTGAAGGATGAGGCTGACATTTTCTTGGGTGGCTTTGGAGTCGACGTTGGCGGTAGCCTTGCCGGGTGTCTGAGTACAGTGGAAATTGGCGGAATAGCACTGCCCTACCATGGGAACAGTGAGGTGGACATACCAAGGGTCCAAGACGAGCAGTTCCTCAAGATGTCCCCCAGAGCAGTTCGTGGTGGTTGCTCGGGGGCTGATGTCTGCGTGGCCAAACCTTGCCTGAATGGCGGCGTCTGTCAGGACCTTTTTAACCTCTTCAGCTGCACTTGCCCGTCAGGCTGGATGGGACCACGCTGTGAACTCCACACAAACCCATGCTCCATCAATCCATGTGCCCATGGCAACTGCAGCGTTCACTCCCTGGGGTACCAGTGCATCTGTGATGCTGGTTATACTGGGGCTAACTGCGAGGAGAAGACAGACCCCTGTCTGCACCATCAGTGTTCATACGGAGCAACGTGCCTCAGAGGAATCCATGGCTACTCTTGCCTCTGCCGTGATAACAGCACTGGAAAATACTGCCAGTGAGTCTCTAACATGTCGTGTCAGTCTCACTCTATTGTGTTAAGCATTTAGGTCTTTTGAATAGCATCTAGCTTAATTAATTGATTGATTGATTTCCCCCCCATCAGTGAGAAGATTAAAGAACTTCCTTGGTATATAGACAAGATCCGGTAAGCGATGCATAACCCTGTGTGTGTTTTGCATTTTGGTTTTCCAGCTACAGAATACCTTGCCCCACATTTCATTTAACTTGTTAACGAAATGACGCATCGGATTTCCAGCCGCCCGAAGCTTCCAGTGTCCGTCTGTGGAAACGAGCACAGGAACTACACGTGTTTCAATGGAGGTAACTGTACCGACGGCATCGCAAGCATGTGCAGCTGCCGGCTGGGATTCACAGGTCACCGGTGAGAAAACTGCTCCTTCCTTTCAGTTACTTTGTTGCTGTCGTTCTATCGATTTTTCCAGTCAGTATTACAGCCTCTCCCCAGGTTACAATGGGGTTATGTTGCGATCAACCTACAGTAAGGCGAAAATTCATTCTGATACAGTAGACCTAACCTAACAAACACCATAGCCTAGCCTAGCCTAGCCTACCTTAAACATACTTAGAACACTTACATTAGCCTGTAGTTGGGCAAAATCATTAACACAAAGTCTGATTTATAATAAAGTCTCGTAATTTATTGAACAATGTACTGAAAGTGAAAAACATTTACCCCTCGTGAAGTCGAAACATTGTAACACAGACCATCGTAACCTAGGGAGCGTTTGTATAATCGACAACTTAAAACAGGAAAAAATATGACTTGTCATTCTTGCTAATGTTGTTTTAATTGACTCACACAATCCCGTTTTCTCCGTTTGTACCTGCGATACTTGACTTTTCTGACTTGATCTTGCAGCTCCTGGCTTCTGGTTTAGTCTCCTGTCAGCTACAAAGAATAACACATTAAAAAGAATAGAGCTTTATTATGAACTGCATATTGTGCCAATGGTGAAAGATTAATGGCTTTCACTGCAGCTTGTATCTACTCTGACATAATGAGTGGCAAACTCGAGTCATTCCAAGCTGAACATTTGAAGGATTCTGAGTCACTGTTCATATAGCACTAGATTTAGACAAGGAATGCTGGGTGAGGTCAGTTCCTGTCCAAATGCTGAGTATGATTTTGGAACCGGGAGAAGAGTTTCAATGAAAACAGTGACGTTCTGAAGTTCTCCGCCTCAGTGAGTTGTGTGTAGAAGCAGCACCACAGAGATTTTTTTTTAAAACTGTTTCACCATGATCCCTGCATCACAGGTGTGAGACGGAGCTGGACGAGTGCAGGTCAGACCCCTGCCTTAACGGGGGCTATTGCAGGAACCTGCTGAACCGTTACCAGTGTTTGTGCCACATCAGCTTCGCCGGAGAGCACTGCGAAGTGGACCTCAGCGACATTTACTTTTACGTGTCTCTGCTGCTCTGGCAGAACCTCTTTCAGTTGCTCTCCTACCTGGTCCTACATCTTGAAGACGACGCAGAGGTTGAATGGGGGGTCGACGACGAATGACACAAAGTCACCATATATCGATCGATGTTTTAACGTGCGTTTATATATGTCAAATGATACTGAATTTAAGTATTCATGGATTATCATATAATAAAAGATGAGATTCAGAAACTGTATATTAATATGGTGTGATAATATCATGTTACCCCATGTAAATGCTCATTTGAATACCTTTTTAATATGAATATTTTGAGTATAGTTGCTTGGCAAAATATAATAATTGTCCTATAGTTATATTATTTTGTAATATCAAACAAAACATGAAAAGCTGAAAAAGTGTGCCTTATATGAATCCTATGTTTCATTAAGTAATTATAAGGTAGAAAATGTAACAGTAGCCTTGTTGAGGGGTGTGTCCTTTTTATGACAGAAAAAAGTGTTGTAATTAAACAATAAAATATAATTTTTATATCATAACTTTATTACACTCGTGCTGATAATGGTATGTATATTTTCCTCTAAGCAGCCTACTGGTTTAATGAAAGATGATCAGTGAAATATTATTGTATGAGACTTGTTTGTATGAAATACAGTGGGAAATTAATTATGTTAATTTTAAATATTCAGGTCAGGTCAGGTCGGGGGGTTATGCACTGACACAGCGCATCGCTGCACCCACCACATAACACCACTAAACGCTTAGGGATCCCCCCAGGCTGACACGCCGTCCAGTCTCACCCTCCGGAAATGGGGTCTATCTGCCGCAGCCAGGTGTAACGTGGGCGTCCCCTTGGCCTGGTCCAGCCGCTGCGAGCCGGATCACCCTCAGGGAATCGCGACACAAGGCCGTAGTGCCGTAACTGACGCTCCCTTACAATGCAGGTAATGTGCCTCGGTCGGGACTCCTCTAGCTACTGAAGTCAAACCAGCGGTACCCAAGGATTCTCCGAGGAGACATGGTACCAAAGGAGTCCAGTCTTCATCTCGGGTCACTGGATAGTGCCCATGTCTCGCAGTCACACAATAAAACAGGGAACAACAGAACTCGAAAAATTCACAAAGATATCGGGAACGCCACACACCCCATCCCACCGATCTCATGACCCCCCCACTCCCAAGTCTGCCTACTGACTTCATAGGAAGAGTCACCAGAGACATGAATGTCGCTGCCGATGTCAGTGACCCTCTCAACACAGTCGACATCCTCTCCGCAGACAGACACACTGCTCGATACTTTGATTTTCATACATTTGTAACTTAACTCTGTAATTTATTGTCTATATGTATTGTTTCTGCTAAATGGAAAAAAAATCTGCCTGTGATAACTGAAAATCTAACTTTTAAGTCTGTAAACAGCATCTCCAAATTTCTGTAATTCTCACGCTACATTTGTATAGGGTGAAGTCTTCGTGGTGTACGCGTGGGCTGCGGTCGCTGTGACGCGAAACAGCGTTTCACTACCTTTCTGCCACTAGGGGGCAAACATTAAGCCCAGAACATCCCTCAGCCACTGAAGGCACCACAGACAGACGCACCTGACGTTATTATCCCAATCAGCGCTTGGTGTGCCCAATCACAAACCATATAAGATCGACTATAGGAACACATGCTCCTTTGCTAACGATCTCGTACAAACGGGACTACAATTCTGTGCTTAATTTATTAAATGGTATAAATGTAATCTTTTATGTCGCTCTAAATTTTATACTTTGTTAATGTTGTCAAGGGTATATGCAAGGTAGATCAACAGGAGTAGGGTTGGGCAGCCCTGCTCTACGTTTAATGTAAAAACTACACTGCGTTGAAAAACTCTTAACGGATTAAAAAAAAACTTTAATTGTCCCTTTAAGATTTTTTTAACATAGTGGTTAAAAAAAACTGCTGACTGTCCAGTAGATGGCAGCATTGACATTGGTAAACAAAACTAAAGCCGAAATCTTAACCGGTGGAAAAAAGAGGCAACTTCAGGGGCGGGGGTTCATAGGCACAAAGCTATGAAAAGAATTAGCTTTATTTTTAAGTTACTTCAGACTGTTTACTGGCATATTTTAGACGTTCCAGTGTAGCGATGTCTATATGTGAACAGCTTCGGACATACAATTTCCTCCTTCCACAAGCAAAGGGATTAAAATCACGTGAGATGGCTGTCCGCTGGATCACGTGACCCGTCGGCCGCTTTCTTTACATGGTGTAGGTCACATGGCGCTGTCTAGGGCAGGTAATGCGAATTAAAGGATCCCTTCTCAGCTGCTGCCAGAGACCAACCTGTGGTGCCTGACATGCCTAAAGGGGTCCTTATGGAGAGCCCGCTCCAGAAGCCAAGGCCATCTTTAGAGATACGAGTGACAGCAGATCCCCACTTGGCTGATTGCTCAGATTTTCCCCGTGTCCATCTCATCAATCATCATCTGAGACAAAGTCAGGACAACTGTTCACGCTCCTCGGGGATTTTTTATGGTAATACGACTAAACTGCATTCTGAACCACTGAATGAACAGCAGACACGCATCATGACAGTGGGCGGTACTGAGCGACATAAAGGCAGTGAAAATCAAAAATCAATCCCTAGCTGGATGTTTTCGTTGTTAAATTAAGCGTGATAATTGATTTAAATGTTTAATTGCTTGTCGGAGCTCAAACAAATGACCATAGTTGGTCTCTAACCACAGATTCACTTTCACTGAATCGTCATTTAGTTTAATTTAGTTAATCTCCGTGAACGCTCTCCAGCCCAAAGCAGTTTCGCGTTATTGCATGCGATGCGGTGTTAAATAAAAGAGCCGATAAGGTCTGTGGTCTCTGGAGCCCCGAATCTCAATGTGCTTCCAGCTTGCTTTTCTTGTCGTTCAAACGGCACGCGCTTCACAATTAAATTATCAATCAACATAGAGTGCCGTGTTAATCTAGTTTTGGTGAACTGCTTGGCCAAACCACTAAGCAAATTCAGATTTGTTTGTACGCAAGCAACACAAATTACCGTGATTAAAAGCAGGCCTGATGCATTAGCCACTGACTACAGTTATTGGGCAACTAAGGCTTCGGTATGGCAGGAGTGTGCAGAGTAAAACTGGCTGCTTATGCAGCGTGAGCTCCTGAAATCTTGGGAAGACAGCAAGAGCTGGAGGAAAGGCAGAGAATCAAATGTCACTTGTCTAGTTTGGTTTCTACATGGTTGTTACATCTTAACCATTGCAATGCTTGTAAATATGAGTGGACACCGTGTCCGACTCGCAATAGGCGACCTGACCCTATTATAATGTCCACATCAGTATAAAAGACCACTGCAACCAGCATGATTTGTGGAGAAAATGTGTGTGCCGGCTATTACAGATTCCTGCCAATTAAATAAGCTAAACCACATGTTCCAAAAGCAGTGCCCCTCCACACTGCCAAGCCCAGTACCTGGAGGCCATAATGAATGGGATTAATGGGGGCTTGGGCTGTGACTCCCAAAATATTTAATGGATTCCTGTATCAGGATCGTAAATTTTTTACCCTCGGCATCGATGCGGAAGCTGAGGTTGCAAAAGCACCTGTGAGGGGCTGTGGCGTCTGATTTGCGAAATACTTGCGTAACAGTAGAACCGTGACATCTGTAGTTATCTTCCTTTTCCTTGGCCCGTGGTACGAATGGCGAAGCACTGTCCTTCGTCCACCTTCATTTGCAGCGAGCTTCCGCTCTTCCTCGTTCATTGTTGTTGATGCAAACCCGAGCTTTGATAAGTAGCGCAGAGAATCATTCATGCGGCTCTGGTTCTCGCAAGACTGCAGGTGACGGACTGCAGTTTTTTTTTACTGTGTTATTTTCTTTTTAAACGTCGCCTTTCTCTTTTAAATGTCGTATATTTCCTGCTTGGTACGGTTTAAAAATGCAGGACTGGGAAAGAAGAGCATCCAGTTACTGGCTTCAGTGACTTAGGCCTAGTTCCTGATTTTATATACTGTGGTCTTTTTTACTATCTTGTTTGGTTTATCTTAACTGTAGCTGAGTAATGAAGTCCATTCCTAGTATCCATTGTTGTGATGGAATGATGTTTTATTTTTTTTTGTGCAAGTGAATCGGAACTTCCATAACTTAAGGAACTCTTACTGTGGCAGTATCTTTGCAATAAGTCATGTATTCGTCCAATAATTTATCCACTTACTATTTTGCCAGCATTTTTTGTTTGAAGTTCTTTTTGGCAATTATACACAGGGGTTGAAATTTATTTTTTCTTATTGCTGTTGTACTATTCAAATTTGGAGCATGTGCATACCGCAGAAAGACGCCAACGGTTTATTGTCGGGAGTAGATCTTCAGATGAGTTGTGTGTTCAGTGAAGGCGTTCTGCCCAGTGCCGGGACGTGGCACTGTTCCTTTTGCACTTGTGGCCTCACTTTTATCTTTAACGAGCCTATGCTACTCTGACCTCTCTCATTAACAGCCACAGAACTGGATTATTATTGTTTTGTTCTTCACGCTGTTCTCTGTAAACTCTAGACGCTCGTGCGTGAAATTCCCATGAGGCTCTCGGTGATCCCTCACTCGCCACGTATGACACCGACAATTACGCCATGCTCGAAACCGCTCGGATCAAGTGTTTTCGCCCGTTTCTTAACTGCGAGTCTCGCGGTAGCCGAACCTCTTGATCTTGTCGGTGTGCTGTATGTATTGAGATGCAGCTGCATGATTCGGCCGTATGTGCGAACAGGCACATGTACCTAATGAAGTGGATGCTGAGTTTAAGTGTGACTTTGAAAAGCATAGTGCTAAAACCTCAAATGCAAACAATTTGTGCCATATGTCTGTAGTGGCCCTCCTGTGATGAAGGTGTTAGTATAAGTAATAATTTCGAGGTGGTCATTTTTCAAGAGGTTTTGTTATTTTATTTAATTTTTTCTTTGTTTGAAACCTGTTTGTCAAATAGGTTTCATACAGCCAATGTAGATCGTATGGTGTTGGAGCAATATTTTGATATTTTCATGCATAAGGTATTTTTTGAAACCGCCTGCCGGCTTATCAAGCTCTGTGCCAAGAAAATGTGGGAAAAAACAGGGACTTGGAGCAAAAATCTCCGCAACAGGAGGACAGCTATAGTTTGTTGCTGCCTAGGTGTTCATGTAACGGAATTTATTTGGCAAAAGTTATGATGAAGCAGTATGGCGCAGTAGGTGGC